GCACGGCAGAGGAAATGCAATATACCATCAGGCAATCACTTATCGACGACAGCAGATCAACATGAAAAATGGGCTTTGGAACTCTAAAGGACAATGATCAGAGAGGCTTCTTCTTTCATCCTAAATCATTATGTTTAGTAGTCGGCTGGAGCACCATAAGTTATTTATAAATGTCTCTGCTTGTTAGGAGATGGATGTTTTTCTAGAGAGATAAATAAATGTTTTTAATCAGATGATAAATGTATGCCGTCTATAGGAAAACAGAAGTCCCTCCCATTCCCCATGCTGTAACCATCTACGGCGGTTGAGAGGTGAAAACATTACTAGCTGAAATGCACTTGGGTGCCGCAGTTTGTGGGTTGTTTGGCTGTGCTGCTATTTGCATAGCTGGGCTGATGAAGTTCTGAAGTGAATCACAATGAATGGAAATGATCAAGTTTTCAAAAGCACTTTAAAGATCTGCTGTCCTTCTGCTCAACTTCAGATGCAAATGAAGACTTGCGATCACTTTCAATGTAGCATCTTTTATTTCATATGATTGCTTTGGAAGAATATGCAAGAGAGAAAAAGAAAGAGAATTAGTTTGGTTTATTGGTTTTTTGCTATATAATTTTCAAAACAATTACAAAATTAGATACAGAGATCAACAAGGCTGCAAAATTCAGGTGTACATTCACTGAAAGCAATGAAAAGAGTGAAGAGAAGGAGTTCTAACCTCCTGATGCCTTGTCTTCTCCCTCTGAGGTGGTGTAGCTTGGGCTCAGAGACAAGCAAATGGGCAGTGGCAAGGAGAAGGAGGAGGTTAGTGGCTCACTTAAGGAAAAGACCATACCAGAAGCATCTGGTCCAAAGATGTGCAAAAACCTGGAACCAGCTCTGAAACTTGTGTTTATGTTTAAGACACCTGCACTATCCCTGAAGGAGTGGCTGTTGGTGCAACTGTGGCCTGCAAGATCAGCTTGCCCATCTCCTTTATAGACAAAGAAATGAGATTTTGGTGTTCCCGGGTCTTATTTGTGTGAGAAAGACAACTCTCAAGGACCACAAACAGCAATTAAGAACATACATCACATTTGTTTTTCATAATGCACATCTTGCCAGTTGCACAAAATGGTTGAGACCATTTCCATCTCTTTTTCACCGTGCTTATTTCTGTCTCCTCTCACACAGCGAAGAGAGGAAATAAAGAGCAGATAGCATGAGATGGGTTTGTTTGGATAACATTTTGAAGGGATGCAAATGCATAACCGGCAACTCCTTCTTACTCTGGCCTTGGCCTCTCCTTACCACAAAGGCATGTGAGTGCTGGACCAGGGTGGGCTAAGAGTTCCACATGACAGGAGTGATACAAAGAGCCTGCTTACATTTTTGTTTAAATTTTATTTGCACTTGGGTTTCCATTCTGGGCACATATGATAATTGTCTGGAACATAACTTCTTAAAATCTATTATCTTTTGCGAGGTTTACACCTAAATCAGCAATCATAAATGAAAAATTTAATCATAAATGAAAAATAACAACCATACATATCGTACCTGCAAAATAATAATAATGTACTGATTGCTTCTGTACAGGGTGCCAGCTAGCCAGCCATACCCAATTCCAAACTCCATTCCATTCTCCTTGGCCCACTTGCTGTGGTCCCACTCCTTCCTCTTGAGTTGCTGTACACAGGAGTAAATAATGCTCAAATATGGCTACAGTTGATTATAACTGTAGGAAAAGTAGTAGACTGGAACTGTGGGAAGTTGAAAGGGGAAGTCAAGAGGGCCAAATCTCTCCAGAATAGCTCGGAGGCTATTCAAAATCACAATAATAGAAGCTCAGCTAGAATGGAGGCTGCTGATCAGGCCAAGAGGATGTCAGCTTGGTTAATGAGCGACTCAAGGAAGAAGCTATTAGATGCAAGAAGATGTTTTTCAGAAAATGGAAGTCTTGTCCAAAAGAGGAGAATAAAAAGGAACTCTGGCAAAAGAAATGGAAGCAGGCATAAGGGAGGCAAAGAAAGAAGAATTTGAGGTTTTTATAAAGAATGTGAATTGCTAAAATAATTGCTAAAATCTAGGGCTAGGCAACCACTTTGTCCGGCCACTTTGTATTTGAATACTGAGGAGAGGTGGGTGTATTCAGACTGAATCAGTGTTTAATTAGACTAGTTACTTAGGCAGTGTCACCTTCCTTGCCCCACCTCCATTTTTGGGCCATAGTCTTGGGTTTTACATTATATTCACAGCTGTATCCTCTCCCAATCAATCCTGGTCACTTATCCTTCATGCTATAGGCAGATTACTTGATTGTTTTTCTATCGTTTCCCATCCTTCCCAATCCAACACAGCCTCTACTTATAAATTATAAAAATAAAATAGTGTGCTGCCCCGTGTCTGTGCCTTAATACCGACTTATACCTCTTAATCACTCACACTTATTAGGCTTCAGTTCTTAGTTACATAGGCTGTGTCACTTCTCCCCTGTGCCAATATTTGTGAGAACGCTTTGCTATGTCTGCAGGTTTCATGTACCTTTGTGAACCACTGAACCTGAAAGTTATGGACATTTTACTTTTGGAAAACAACAACAACAACAACAACAAGTGGTAAAGGTAGGGAGGACAGAAACCCCTGGCTGTACCAGCCTGGAATTTGGTATGGTTAATCCTCTCTTGTGGGGCTACTATACCTGCAGGTTCCATGCACCTGTGTGAAGAAACCAGAAAGCTCTGGCTGTTTTGGTTTCCCAATGCAAGTCAAAGGGATCACAGACACTTTATTCTTCTCAGTTTTGGGTGTTAAAGAAGGACCGAACATTCTTTATGTATGCAACAACAGCAGCAAGGATACTTATTGATAAATATTGGAAAACCCAAGATTTGCCCACGCTGGAAGAATGGCAGACGCAACTGATAGACTATATGGAACTGGCAGAAATGACTGGCAGAATCCGAGACCTGGGAGAAGAAGTTGTGGAGGAGGATTGGAAGAAATATAAGGACTATCTACAAAAATATTGCAAACTGAATGAGTGCTAAGCAGGATGCAGGACTGGAAATAACTTGGCACCAGTAAGCTGTTTGAAAGGATTTTTGAGAATATGTGAAATGTGAGAAAAAAGATAAACTTTGGATTAATATTGTGTTTAACTCAAGAATTTATGTTGTTGATAATGACCGCTCCCCACTTAAAACGGGGGGCGCCCTTTGCGCGGGCGCGTGCAGCCCCTAGATCTGGAGCGCCCCAACAGCATAGGCTTGGCTTTGCCTTCCCTCAGGTGGGATACCTGGAGGTCTCCGCCTACCTCAGTCAGTTGTCCAATCCCACCTGGGGGAAGCGTTGCCAAGGAGACCAGGCCAGGTAGGGGAGGGATTACCTGCCCACACAATAGAGGGAGGATCTTACCTAGGAATCCTCACTTGGCTCCAGAGCTTCTCCCACCCTACCCACCCTCAGTTAATGTCTTATTTTGCAGGTTAACTTTTCTTCACAGGTTTTGCAGGTTAACGTTTCTTCACAGGTATGCGGGCGCTGCTACGCTAAGGTCGCTGTTAAAGGGCCGGAAAGGAATTTCCCTGCATTGGCAGGTTTCGCCTTTCCCGTAGCAAAACGTCACAACTTTGGCGGTATCAGGCCTTGGGCGGAATCCTTTTGTCCATCTTCCTCTTGCGGCGGCGATACCAGGGTTCCCCGTTAAAGGGGTTTTCTGAAGGGAGGCTTTGGCCGTACACCGAAAGGTCGTCATTGCTCTCTCCTGCGGCGGCGGCGTTACGGGGGCGGCCATCTCTGCTTGAACATATGTTCTCCAGAGCCGGCCCATCCCCCACACACACACTGGATAACCCTGATGCTCCCTAGGTCCCCGGCTGGGGACCAGGGAGGGAGAACGCCCAATGCCTGAGCCAAGGTCTACCCACATTTGAAATTTAATAAAGTTGTGGCCAATTTAATCCCATAGCACGTTGTCTTGAGTCGTTATTCCACATGACAGGGGGGCCGTGCAGGATCTGGGGACTCCGCCTGTCCGCGCAAAAATATTTAAAGTTAGAGACATAATATTGGGAAAGTACAAAATAAGATTTGAAATAAGGTGATAATTTGCTGTTTAAAACTTCATAACTGGGAATGCAGGAACGAGAGATGTGAGGAAGTCCAAAATTTGATGAAAGTATGGTTATTAACCAATTGATTTTGTTGTTCTATTTTCTTTTTCTTTTTTCTTTTCTCTGGATGGTGTTTTAATCTTTCTACTTTCTTGTGTCTTTCTCTTTTTATGGTACTTTGGTGATGGTTTTATGTGTATTTGATGATTATAAATGCTTAAAATCTTTAATAAATATTATAAAAAAAAAATTCTTCTCAGTTTTGCTTTGGATGAAAGGGCCTCCCAAAACGATCAGAAGTGGATAGGGGGCCAATACTGAGTGTGCTCCGAAGTGAAGTGGCGGGGACCTTGTACAACTCTCCTAAAAAAAATCAAGACCACCCATGAAAAATTATTTAAATATATTAGAAGTTATTTTGACTATACAAGGATAGGCACTGGGAGAGTATTCACTAGTCATATATAGGATGTGAGTCTGGGGGGAAATGTTATGCACAATTATCTTCTGTAATAGCTGGTGGAGACCTTCCTTAACCCCTCTGCATCAGTATGAGCATAGTGACTACATCAACAGATGGAGGTTTGGAGCATATAAAACATTAAATGGATCTCCCACCCTAAGGTTGACCACGGTGTTCTTTTCCAACCCTTTAAAACATTCATAATGTTTTTGTCTAGATAATTTTGTACCAGTTTAGGCTGCTTTTTCTTTTGCTGTTTGAAAACACTTTGCAGCCCTGTTTTATTTTCTGGGTGGTGACCAGGGAAGAATCGTAGCGATGGAAATAGGAAATAAATAGCTGGGGTAAACAGACTATTTTGTCATACTCTTTCTTTTTCTGACAGTGTTCAGCCTGCTTGACCTCCTCTCTTTCCAATTTGTCTCCTCTCTCTTTTCACCCATTAGGTCACTGCAATGCAGAGTTGGAGAAACAGCATGAAATAATCTGTGACTGAGCACTGAGCACCTAGGATGTTCCATTTCTGGTACCAAAGTGATTAGTTTTCTCACTTCAGTGCCACCACTCTACAAAACCTGGAACCTCATATTTTGCAGGTAGTTTTTGCAGTGGCTAATGGTGTGTGTGTGTGTGTGTGTGTGTGTGTGTGTACAGTGATTAACATTTTAAAGAGCTTTGCAAAATAATAAATGTGTCCTTAACCTCTGATTATTATAGTTTATTATATTGGGTAGGGGGAATCACATGCGACCTTCCAGAATATGTTAAAGAGACCATAGACTTGGAGAGTGGCAGAGTTGTGTTCTTAAGTGGAAATAAAAAGGTAAAGGTAAAGGTACCCCTGCCCATACGGGCCAGTCTTGACAGACTCTAGGGTTGTGCGCCCATCTCACTCAAGAGGCCGGGGCCAGCGCTGTCCGCAGAGACTTCCGGGTCACGTGGCCAGCGTGACAAAGCTGCATCTGGCGAGCCAGAGCCGCACACGGAACGCCGTTTACCTTCCCGCCGGTAAGCGGTCCCTATTTATCTACTTGCACCCGGGGTGCTTTCGAACTGCTAGGTTGGCAGGCGCTGGGACCGAACGACGGGAGCGCACCCCGCCGCGGGGATTCGAACCGCCGACCTTTCGATCGGCAAGTCCTAGACGCTGAGGCTTTAACCCACAGCGCCACCCGCGTCCCTTAAGTGGAAATAGTATCCAGTTAAGAACAAATCCTACCTCAGCCATGAAGTTTACTGGGTGATATTGGACCAGTCAACATTTTGCAACTGAACCTACCCCACAGGGTTGTTGTGAGATTAAAAATGAGAGGGGGAGAACCAGGTATGTCACATCTTTACTCCATGGAGGAAAAGTGGGATATAAATGTAATCCCCGCCACTATCAAGTAAGGCTCAAAAGGGGGGTGGGGGCCAAGCCAAGGGAAATGACATACCTGATAAGTGATTCAAAGAAAACACAAAGAGTAGCAAGAAGACACAAGACTTTGGATACAAGGGGTTGCATTTTAGGATGGGCTGTAGGTTAGGATTGGCCTGGATTGCGATAAGGTCACACAACCCAAACATAGCCGCCACAATGTTGTTGCTCATGGGAGACGCAACTTGAAAAAGGGTATTGGAAACCCGGGAATAATTTTTGTTGTTTTTCTTCACTGTTCCTCCCAAATGTAGTGATTGGAGAGCCCTGATAAGGTTATTTTGTGGTTGGAAGATACAACAACACCCTTCTCCTTTCCTTCTGCCTGGCATTTTCCTTTTATGGAGAGCTTACGGGAGCTTCAGGTATTGACCAGAACCTCCTCCTCAACACTTTTCTGAAACCTTGGGAAGAGCCTACTTTGCTTTGGACAAATGGGTTCTTGTATCTAAATGCATCTTTCCTCTCCTCCACTGCCTTGAAAGATGAAACTAAAACTTTCAATAGAAGCTTTGTTAGCTCTAGCTGAATTCACTTTATCTTCTCGTCTTTTCCCAACCCAATCTAATGTGACTCCTTTATATTAGCTCTGAACCTCCTGGCAGCTTAAAGCCAAGACCAGACGTATCCTTCTCTCTGAAATTGGAGACTGAGAGGCCAAACCTTTCATGGAAGTTGGTTTATTTTTAGATCTTTTGTAAGCTAAACTCTTGAAAATATTACAACTCCCAACTGGCCTGTGGAATTAAATAGAGGGGAAAATGGAGTTCAAGGAGTGCACAGCTATCTGTATCAATATCAGTGTTTTGTACAAGACACAAATAAGACTTGAAACTAGAGTCACGCAATCTGTAGTTTTACAGAATGTATAAAAATGAAGTAATTTTTTTGGTGCTCTGAATGCAACACAAAATAAATGGGGGGTGGGGGGTAGACAACCTTTTGCAACCCAAAGGGCACAGTCTCTCACGGGGAATCTTGATGATGGTGTTGATACTGCTTACCTGCCTTTGCCATACATTCCCAGGACAATTAGTAGATTAAAAATCAGTTAAAACAATTTACAATGTTAATCAGAATTTAACAAAAATAATAATGAATGGTTCATTGCCTCCATTTCTGGAATACAGCTTCAAGAAAGTCACCTTACTTTAATAACTCTATCTCCATCAGGGGTAATGTTTTCTCAGTCCTGTGAGTGTATCATTTTACCAAAAGGTGGAAACTCTCACCCCAGGGAAGACACTTGAGCTTGTACAAGAGATTATATTTATAAGAAGAATAGATGTGATTGCCATTTTTGAACCTTAAACAAAAATCCCAACATGCAAATGGGGGGAGGGTAGAAAATGAGTATTGGTCTGTTTGCTGCTGATGTCACAGCAGCCCAGAACACTGTTTGATAGAGGCTTTTCTTTGCTGCTGAAAAATGATGCACTTGGTGTGTGTGTGTTTGTTTCATGTGAGATGTCATAGGACAGGGGCGCTGACTTGGGCCCTAGGTTATGGGTGCCCAATGGCGCCCGTGCTGTAATGTGACCTCATGACGTCACAATGCGTTGGTGGTGCATTTTTAAGTAGGTGGGCAAATGGGTACCCTTATTTGCAGACACCTGAAGATCTAGAAAGGACCCAAATCCCAGCAGCTTTCTAGGCAATACTCATGCAATCTCAACCCCCGCCCCCATCTCAATATAAATAAGAGACAATCTTGTATCTCAGTCCTCCTGCAACCGGCATTTTCAGGGTCGGACAACATTCTTATTAATCAGCCTTTCAATAACATATGTTGAGATTTCCATTCCACCTTAAGGAGCAGACGTGTGGAACTGTTGCGTGTCACATGTCTGTGTACATTCAAGCACAGCTTGCTTGTGTATAGCTTTTCCTTTTCCTGTTCTCTCTGAGAAGACAAGAGAGACGACATGTTTCTTTGTCCTGATTTATGATTAATAAATCTGTAGTTGTAGTATGCTTCCACAAGCTTCACGCCTATTCTGTGTGTGCAGTTTGATCTGCTGATAGTGTGCCCTGGCTTTTAAGCCCAGGTCGCTGATTTACGTCGCAGCAGAGACGATGGGTCTTTGCAGTGGGATGGCTAGAAGGAGAAGACCCAGCCAGGGCTAGCCAGCTGGCCTCCCGGCCCTCTGCATGTCGTCAGTTATTAGCCCATCACGTTATGCTGTAGTTAAAAGCAATTTATAAACTTACAAACTTGTAATTGTGTGTCGAGGTCCCCAGGGCCACCCCAATAACTCACACATCACACAAAAATTTTGTTTAAGGTTTTTGGCATAATTTTGGCCACAACTTTATTAAAATACAAAAATGTGAGTGGTTGCTTAGGCATTGGTTGCAACTATCTGCCCCCACCATGGGGGACAGACTGACATTCCGCCCGCCCGCGAAAGTCAGAAAAGGGGAATACACTTGGGGGTGTAACGACGGAGCAGGGTACCTGCCCTCGTTGTTGTTGTTGTTTAGTCGTTTAGTCGTGTCCGACTCTTCGTGACCCCATGGACCAGAGCACGCCAGGCACCTCTGTCCTCCACTACCTACCGCAGTTTGGTCAAACTCATGCTGGTAACCTCGAAAACACTATCCAAACATCTCGTCCTCTGTCGCCCCCTTCTCCTTGTGCCCTCCATCTTTCCCAGCATCAGTGTCTTCTCCAGGGAGTCTTCTCTTCTCATGAGGTGGCCAAAGTACTGGAGCCTCAGCTTCACGATCTGTCCTTCCAGTGAGCACTCAGGTCTGATTTCCTTAAGAATGGATGCATTTGATCTTCTTGCCGTCCATGGGACTCTCAAGAGTCTTATCCAGCACCATAATTCAAAAGCATCAATTCTTCGGCGATCAGCCTTCTTTATGGTCCAGCTCTCACTTCCATACATCACTACTGGGAAGACCATGGCTTTAACTATACGGACCTTTGTTGGCAATTTTTGACCACCTCCAACTTACCCAGGTTCATGGTTCTTACATTCCAGGTTCCTATGCAATATTTTTCTTTACAGCATTGGACTTTCCTTTCGCTTCCAGGCATATCCGCAACTGAGCGTCCTTTCGGCTTTGGCCCAGCCGCTTCATCAGCTCTGGATCTACTTGTACTTGCCCTCCGCTCTTCCCCAGTAGCATGTTGGACGCCTTCCGACCTGAGGGGCTCATCTTCCAGCATCATAACTTTTATATGCCTGTTGTCTTTGTCCATGGAGTTTTCTTGGCAAGGATACTGGAGTGGCTTGCCGGTTCCTCCTCCAGGTGGATCACGTTTGGTCAAAACTCTCCACTATGACCTGTTCATCTTGTGTGCCCTGCTCGGCATAGTTCATAGCTTCTCTGAGTTTCTTCAAGCCCCTTCGCCACGGCAAGGCAGTGATCCATGAAGGGGCCCTCAGCCCTCCCCAAATGCAGCCAGGAGCTCTTGCAGTGGCCCGAGCCCCCTTGACAGGGTGGACAAGCAATAGTTAGCCCCTGATTCCTTTAACGGAATCCCTTGCAGCAGCAGCAGCATTAGAGGGGCAGGCACAGCCAATCCATGCCCCTCAACCAACCAAACCATAAACCAATGCCTAACCGCAACCTTACAAGTTGTGACGATTTGCTACGCAGTAGGCAAAAACCAAATGGCCCCAGCCAATCAGGCAGATGGACAAAATTCCTAACGGGCCCCTGCCCCAAGAGCAGACGACCCCATGACAGGCATAGCAAGGTCAAAGCGAACAACCCTAAATATAGGGGGGGATGGGCAATCTGATGCACGGGCGAAAAGAGGAAGCCCTAGCCTTGTGCAAAGAGTTTTAGCATTTCTGGCTGTCAATCAACAAATGACAACATTAACTTCTTCCCAACAACAAGGGAAGCCCAATCGCATCAGTGGCCAACAATCCATTAGCCCGCCCCACAACCTTGGAGTGTCCTGGCGGCCCCCACCGCAACACGTGCTCTCCATGAAGGAGAACAGGCTATGCCAACACCTGCTGCAAACAGTGAGCGAGAAACAATGTCATGCAAGTGGGTGCCTGCCAGTGGAACATGCTTTCTCCTTCCTCTCCTTCTCACTGCAAAACTCTGATATGTCCCACAAAATCTGCTCTAGATTGGAGGTGGAGGAGCTGGAAGGAGGAGAAGAGGAACCAGACATCTCATTGCGATAGTAGATTTTGGTTGCACAAACAGCTGACATAATTGGGTATATAAAAGAATTAATCCATACCATCCTTAATCGAAATGCTTTGATAGCCATACTATCATTCATGCTTCACAGGCAAAATTGGCAAGAGAGCTTGTGACCGCCATATATTATTTAGCAAAAAACCCCGCATGAAATAAAATAAAAGGTAAGCATTTCTTCTGAAGAGGTTAGAGGGAAACAGGGGTAGCATTACCATATTTCCCAAGTTTCAGATTGCCTGACAGCAAGGAATTTTTGAAAATACTGATTAAAAACAAATGAGAAGCAAAGCACAGTATCACAAATGAGCTGCGATTCCTGCATTGCAGGGGGCTGGACTAGATGACCCTATGGGGTCCCTTCTGACTCAACAATTCTGTGGTCCTATGAAGTCCTTGAAATGTATCTCTGCACTAATTTGAGCAATAATTACAGAGATATGCCTGCGTGTAATTTGAGAAATCACATGGTTGGACATGTTTGTTTTTGTGTTCAAAGCTAGATAATTTTCCGTTTCATTACGTTTGCTGCTTCTCTGCAGACAGATCCATCATCACAATCACAGAACTGGAAGGAATCAAAGGATCATCCAGTCTAACTACCATCACAAGGCAGGATCAGGCCCTCCAGCTGCTTCCCCTTCCCCTTTCTGGCTAACTCGTGTAATCCAGACCACAAGTGGGACTTATTTTCATAAAGTTTGTATATACAAGTCAAAGATAGAAAACCCGACTGCATCGCTGCTCTATTATTTTTAAGCAGAGTGGGAGGAAAGCTATTAGCTTGATTCAGCGAAACAATAACACGTGAACTTTAAACACAGAACACTTAAAGTGCCATTTAAAGCATTGCAGAGAAAATCCATTCTTAAAAAAAAAAAATCAAGAAATCTACATGAGGTTTTATTGCATAAAATGTGTCACAGCGCCGTCTTCATTAGAACTGAAACGACAAACTGGATTGCTTCCAAAATGGCTGGCTCCAGACCTGGATTCCTATTGACCTGAAATGTCAACTGCGATTATATTCTGCTGACTGCCAATCACCACAGTAGCTTTAGAAACAATCTTGTGCAAAATAAAAGGGGTTGCGTCTCAATGCCTCTCAGCGGCTGTGCCGTATGAAAGTCATGAGAAATGATAGTGCCTTTAATGCAAGCTACCTCTCCTCCGGAGCGAAATGAATTGTTAATCTCCTGGTTATTCATGTCGGGAGCGTGCTTTCTCTGCAAGGCACCATTGTATGTGCTCTG